CTCATACGTTCAGAGTACGTCAGGGTCAGACCGGTCCCCTCTTCACTGCGGCCAGGCCCGGTCACCAGCAGCTGTTTTACTGTAGTAGCCGCCTCACCGATCTCTGCCCCCAGCCCCTCCTCTCACCCCGAGGTGCTTCCCACAGAGCATCCAGAGCCACCCATTTTAAGCGCGAGCAGAGCCGGTGGCATACCCCCACTTTCCAGTGACTCAGGAGGCTGAGGCAGGAGGATTGCATATTCAAGGCCAGCCTGAGTAATTTAGCTAGCCCTGACTTAAAAAAGGCTTGGGGAAGCTGGGGATTTAGCTCAGCAGCAAAGAGCCTGCCTGGCAAGCTCAAGGTCATGAGCTCGGTTCCCGGTACCGGAGAAAAACCAAAAAAAAAAAATCAAAAAAGGCTTGGGATGTAGCTCAGTGGCCGAGTGTTGGCCTCACATGCGTGAGGTCCTGGCTTTAATTCCCAGTGCTGCAAACACACAGAAAACCAAAAATATAAGCAGACCGTATCGCTCAAAGCTTTCAGAGGCAAAACGCATCATTTCATGATTTGCCCTTCAAGCCCAGGATTTGATCTCTGCTCTCACCTCCTGCCTCTTCGACCTTGTACCTGCTCTGTGACTGTCCCATACGCTCTTGGCTCCGTGGCCCTGGCTGTGCCCTGTGCAGACTGCTGTCCCTCAGGCATTCCCCAGGCTCCCTTCCTCCGGCTCCGGGTTCTGCCCAGAGGCCAGCTCCTGCGAGCGGCCTTTCCTGACCATGCAGCGTGAAGCAGGCCTTCCTCTGCGGTCTTCATCCCTTTGCCCTGCTGGTGCGCCTGCTGCTGCTGCTGAGCCCTAAACACCCAGCACTGCGCGTCAGTGGCCCCGGCCTGTCACCGCCAGTGAGTGTGCAGGAGGGCAGACGTGGCTGCTGGGCTTGCTCCTTTCCCGCGGCGCCCACACTTACCCCACGGTGAGAACTCAGGTATTAACGGGTTGGATTTCACGCCGTTCGCCCCTTTCCTCTCCCTGCATCTTTCTACCTTGCCTCGTGTGTCATTAAGAAAATACAAGAATTTTCTTTTTTGAACCAGGAATTGAACTCAGGACCTTGCACTTGCCAGGCAGGCGCTGTGCTGCTGAGCTGTATCCCTGGCCTAAGAAATTTTGTTGTATACTGCATATGTATACTAATAAAAGGTGAGGGCCGGGCGTGGTGGCACAGGCCTGTAATTCCAGCACTCAGGAGACTGAGGCAGGAGGATCGTTGCGAGTCTGAGACCAGCCTGGGCTATGTAAGTGAGCTCAAGGCCAGGCTGAACAGCATAGCGAGACCCTGTCTCCCAAAAAAAAAAAAAAAATTTTCCTCTCATCTTTCTGTTAACTGATTTCTGGTTTGTTTCCTTCAGAAAATATACTGTGTATGGTTTTAGTTCTCTTACATTTGTTTTGGTGGGTTTTATGGCCCAAGGTACTATCTTTTTTTTTTTTTTTTTTTTTGATACTGTCTATCTTAATGAATTTGTTCCCTGGGTGCTTGAAAGACTTGTGTATTCTGGTATTAGGTGCATGTGTGTGAATTTGAGCCTATTGGTGGAATGTGTTCAGATCTTCTGTGTTCTTGGTGATTTTCTATTTAATAGGCATTGTTTGAACTGGAGATTGTTTTTTTTCGGGTTTTTTGTTTTTTTTTGGTACTGGGAATCAAACTCTGCCTTGTGCTTGCCAGGCAGGTGCTTGTGCCACTGAGCTATATCCTTGGCCCCATGAACTGGAGATTGGATCCAGGGTCTGTGCACCGAGCTACATCCCCAGTGCACACCCCCTTTAAGTTTTTGAGACAGGGTCTAGTTCAGTTATCCAGGATGCACTCCAGTGTGCAGTCCTCCTGCCTCAGCTTCCCAGAGTGCTGGATTTAGAGGGGCATGCTACGACCCTGGGCTTTCTGTGGTAGTGGTTTTATCAGGTGCTGAGGGGTGGAGGCTGAAGTTCCAAATATAATTGTGTATTTGTCTGCTTCTCTTTTGGCTCTGTTTTGCCTCATGTGTTTTGAGACTGCTGCTTGATATGTACACATTAAAGATGATTATGTCTTCCTGTGGATTGATCCTTTAATCGTTACGTAGTGGTCCCCTCTCTAGTAATTTCGCTTTGAAGTCTGTGTTATTAAACATTAATAGGGCAGTTCCTGCTTTTTCATCAGGTCTGTATTGGTAATAATATATGTGCTGGTGTTCTGAATCCCTTTCTCTAAAAATAGAGGAATAATTTTCTCCTAAGAAAGGGCAGCCTCTCCCTCTCTGTCTGTGGCATGGATTGCACCCCATCCCTTCCAGGGGACATCACTCCTGCAGTTAGTCTCACTCCCGCAGGCATCATCCGTTCAGTCTTTTCTGTCGGCACCCAGCCGAAAGTGAGCGAGAACAGGCCTGAGGAGAACCCCTGGGCCTCACGGCGGAGCCTGCCTCTGCGTCTTACCTCCTCGGCCCTTCTTGGCGCACTGAGTTCTGGCTTCTCTCCACCTCTTTCCCCACGCGCTCCTGCCAGGAGTGTCCCTTCTACGCCCTGCTCAGCCTGGCACTCCCAGCTTTACTTGGGGTTTCTGTTTGGGTTTTGTGTGTGGTTTCATTTTGTTGGTTTTGTTTTTGAGTGTTGTCGTTGTTTCACTTTTGTGAGACAAGGTCTGATAATTATAGGCCTTGAACTTTCGATCCTCCTGGCTCAGCCTCCTGAGTGCTAGGATTACAAGAGTGTGCTGCTACTTCTGGCTGCATGCACTCAGGACTCTTAAGGGCCTGCGCCTGTCAATTGTCAGCCTGGAGGAACAGAGGAGGACGTTTGCTTCATGTAGGAGAGCTAGCAGCGAGGCGGGGCGCAGCAGCGCGTGTCCAGTTCCCGCTTTACAGCTGCCATCCTGACACTTTGCCCTGGGGGAGCGCGCGCAGCGGCAGCGTGTGTCCGCGCATGTGCAGTAGCAGAGCGCCGCTGCGGCTTCGCTGTGGTGCCCTCTGGCCCCTTGCTGGGAACGTGCGTCTGGTTTCTGTTTCAGTCTCGGTGCAGTTCTGCAGTGGAGTCGGTATGGCTTCCTCTTGAGATCGTGAGTGCACGCTTAGTGGGATGTCTGATTTGTGAATCTGCTTAAATTTAGTTATTTACTTATGTTTTTGTCTTTTTGAGGGTCTCGCTGTGCAGTTCAGGCTGGCCGTGAGCTCACTTTGTAGCCCGGACTGGTCTCGAACTCACAAGGATCCTCCTGCCTCAGCCTCCCGAGTGCTGGGATTACAGACGTGCGCCACCACGCCAGGCTAATCTGCTTAAATTTAAACTTTAACCCTCAGAAATAGAAATTAGTGCCACTTAGTTGGTATGTGACACTTTTTGCGAGACTTGTTAGGTATTTATGTGGTTTTCTTTTCATCTTATAGGATGATTGCTTTTAAAGTGATTGGAAAGACGGCCCTTCTGGGGATGTACTTAGCGACAATGGAACTTAACCACACAGTGTTGGAGTAACAGGTGTTTTTTCCGTACAATTTAGGCAGATGCTTTATTCAAGAGCCAAGCCTAGTTCTGTGCCCTGAAGGGCTAATTTTCAGAGTGGCTGAGGAGTTCTAATTTCACATGTGATTTTAGGACTCCTAAAAACTTTAGGGTATTTTAAGGAATATCGTGCTTAAAGGCTAAACTCCACATTGACCACATACATGTGTGGCAACAGCCTCTTCACCTGGCTTTCCTATTCATTCTAGTTGTTTTCTTAATTTTTTATTTATTTTTGTCTTTTTGAGACAGGGTTTCACTTCTCAGTTCAAGCTGGGCTTGAGCTCATTTTGTAGCCCAGGCTGGGCTCGCACTCACAACAACCCTCCTGCCTCAGCCTCCCGAGTGCTGGGATTACAGGCGTGCGCCACCACGCTCGGCTGTCCTCTCCATTCTTTAGCTGGTCCCTCCTGCCTGCTCATCTCCAGTCTTACCGAGAGTTGCTGCTTCTGCCCAGCGCGAGCACTGTGTTTGGACGCGGGCGGGTGGAGACCCCTCTCCTTCCCAGTGTTCCCATGCAGGTGAGGGGCCTGGCTGGGAATGTGCTCTCACGAGGCCCTGAACGGACAGAGGCCTAAGCCGTAGGGAAGTGAGTTGAGGGATTTTTCATTTGTTTTTTTAACGCTCTCCTCCTGTGAGCCCAGGGGAGCGGCGGCTCTCCCTTAGGTGTCTGTGAACTGTTGCAACGTTTGGCTTAGTAGACGTCCACTGGGTTCTTTCCTGTACCAATATGTACCAGTGTTCCAATATGCTGTTCCGTTGACATCTGGGAGACATCTGTCCTCGCAGAGATGGGTAGTTGGAGAAAGGAGTATGTCCATCTTTTCAGACAATTGTGGCTGTTCTTTTTTGATATGATAGAAGAACTTCACAAGTAGTAGATTTTCTAAAGGTGAATTGCAGTGTGAGGTACAAAATTGTCTTTTCATACGTTCGAATCTGTTGGTCCGTCTTACACTTTGTATAACTCTTCCTCAAGCGTGACGTCGTGTTACGCATTGGTCCTTTGGAGATCTGGCTCCCTGAGTGACCTAGCCGGCGTTAGGCAGCTCCTGCATGGGAAGATCCTTATCCCAGATAAGGGATCTTCAGGATCTGGCCTGGGACTGTGAGGCCGCCCCTTGCCTTCTCGCCTCCTGTCCTCCCTCCCGGGACCCTTGAGGGACTGAGCTGGGTGCGGGCCGCTCCCCTCAGCATTTACTCAGCCGGGCTCCGCGCCGACCTCTTTGGTGCTGCTTTGCCGCCTTCCTGGGTGTCCTTCAGCCCCGTCAGGGGGACATCGGACGTGAACCGCCCCACAGCCCCGTCAGGTCCAGTGAGTCCCGAGCAGCACTCCAGGAGCTCACTGCGAACTGCTGAGCTTCCTGTGGTCTACGCAGCAGGGGCTGGAGACTGAGACCGGCCTCGGGAGACCCACAGTGGGTCTGCGTCCAGCAGAGTTCCAGGGGAGCGTCCCCCTGTCCTTCCAGGGCGGGCGTGGGCGGGCCGAGTTGTCCCAGCAACAGTGTGTGAGAACAGCGGGCTGTCGTCGGAGTGGGGCCCTGCCGTGCAGACCTGGTTAGCAGCCCGCACCGTTGCCCTCGGCCTGTAGTCCTTGGCAGTCAGCCTAGCACCGTGTGAGCAGAGGCCCTCCGTAAATCCCATTCTCACGGGGCCGTGGTCCAGGGTTGAAGACGGCCTTTACCAGGACAGTGGGAGGATTCACAGATCACCTGCCGGAGCCAAGGGTAGCGGCCAGACGTTTTGGGCAAGGTTGAAATTACAGTGTGCTTGGCGTGTCATCCAAGGACTGTTTCACAAGCGTTCCTAGGAGTCTTGATTTCCTGAAACAGAACGCTCTTGGGTAAAAGGAGTTGGCTTCTGTGGTAAGTGTGGGGTGTGAGGAACGCAGTGGGGCCTTGCTCGACCGAGCTGGGCGCCGGCTGAGTCACCCACTGCGCTTTTCTGTCCTCTGGAAACGTGAACCAGAGGAATAAGGCAGTCGTCGTCCTGGTAGTTTAAACGTTTTCTGGAGATAGTTCTGGGTGGGGTTTGCTCTCTGTACTTCGCCTTGCCTTGTTTCGTGATGTGATTTTATCTGGAGGACACAGACCTAGCTGGCAGGTCCAGGGAGGCAGGTCACCGTCCCCGGCTCGTGTCTCGCTGAGCACAGGTAGGTGTGTTGGTATTTGTAGGTACTGAGGGATGTGCCTTGTACCCAGTACAGTTCCACAAGTGTTGGTTGGAATCACACGAAGAGCCTTCTCATTACTTCCGTAAATCCTTCTCCAGTGTTTGTCTCAATTTTTTTTTAAAGTCAATAAAAAAAAAATGGCTCTTTCTTGCTGTTCGTGATGTGCTCTGTTTTTCGTTTGCTGTGTAGATTAGTTGTCAGATCTGTGCTGATGCCCTAGAAATTTGAAAATCAGCTTTGGTTACATTTCCTTTGTTGACCTTTAAATCATCAGTTCTTGCTCATCCCATCTACTCCTGTCGCTGCAGTGCAGGCCCTCGTCCTCCAGATCAGTGTGACGGACTCCAGCCTTCTGTCCTTACCCGGTGTCACTCCCTGCCCTGTCTCTGAGGAGCCGCCTGGACAGTGCGTTGTGAAGGCGGAGAGTAACAATGTGTACTCACACGGTGGCTCTGCGGGAGCGGTGTTGTAACACGTTTCGTCCTCAGGGTGGAACACCCGAGGCCCAGAGAGGTGACCCAGCAGGGAGGCTCTGGAGTACCGATGTCCATCGTAGCTTTTGCGACTGCTTCCTGCTGTCAGCTGCAGAACCAAAGCCAGGCTTCTGCACAGAGCGCCGGAGGCCTTTCCTCCTCTGATTCTGCGCTCTGTAGACATCACTGTTTCCTGCCTGTTGGATGCCGCAGGTCTCACAGTGTAAATCTGTGTGCACGCACACATCACTGTTTGCACGCACAGCCTGCGTGGCTTCCACTGTCTGTCTCGCAGGCCTGGTCCACTTGCTGCGCCCTCTGCACCTGACCTTCCTACTTTCTTCCTTGTTAGCTCCCCTGTAGGTAGACTCAGGCAAACTGTAGCAGAGAAGGACGAGAGGTGCAGTCAGTTCAGGGAGAAGGGTAATCACACAGTACACCGAAGGAGACGTTTTTCAGTTTGCACAGTACATCCCAAAAGTAACTGTTCCTTCAGCGGCACAGACTCTTCTATCACAGCAGTGTTGGGTGCATACAAGTGAGAATAAATGAATGTGATGTTTGTCTAAAGGTGCATTTCTTGTTTTATATTTCCCTACAAATCCTCACGATTATAGAGTTTTGGAAAATTGTATAAATGTGGATTTCTCAGACTTTGCTTTAGGTAATGAGTTTTCCTTCTCTCTTTTCTTTGGTAAGCTCCTTGCCCGGCTTGAAGGGAGAAGTTCCTTGAAAGAAATTGAACCAAATCTGTTTGCTGATGAAGATTCACCTGTGCATGGTAAAAATACATCTTCAAATCATAGAGTATCGTAACTTTTATGAACAAATTTTTCTGCACGTGTACACATACAAACATGCTCCTCACAAAAGGCTCTATAAGTCAGACTGCAATTTTAAAAACGAGCATCATAGCGAAGGCCTGACAGGTTTGAGCTTATGCACCGTAACTTGGTAAATTTGGTTTTGTTTTGGTTTGGTTTTTTGGAGATAGAGTCTCATTATGTAGCCCAGGCCGGCCTGAACTCTCAGTGATCATCCTTCCTCAGCCTTCTGAGTGCTGTGACTACAGGTGTGCGCCATCTGGCTTTGTGCAGTAACTTTAGAGTGTACATTGTGTGTGTGCAGAAGATCTTCAGAGTATACACTGACCTCCCTCTTTTTTCCTCAACACAAAAATTTTTTATCTTGTTTTTATATTTTAAAATAGGGTCTTGCCTCAGCCTCCTGAGTGCTGGGACTACAAGCATGCACCACCATGTCCTGCTTGTTATTATGTTTTTTTAAGTATTGTTTTTCTTTAGAAGTTTATAGAATTACAAGAAAGTCCTTAGGTACCCACTTGTTCTTTTGTTATTTGTACAGCGGGAATAATACTTGTTCTATTGGAACTTCTACACTAGGAAGAACTTACAAAGAAAATAGTGTGCATAGGTGGTTTTTGTTTCTTTTTGTTGTTGTTTTTTGGAGACAGTGTCTCATTATGCAGTTCAGGCTGGTCTTGAGCTCACTTTGTAGCCCAGGCTGGTCTCGAACTTGCAACAATCCGCCTGCCTCAGCCTCCCCAGTGCTGAGATTGCAGGGGTGCGTCACCACGCCCAGCCCTTCTTTTACTCTTTATCCTGTCCAGTCTACAAGCCTTTTGGTTGGTTCCACTCACACCCAGGGTGGGTCTTCCTTCTTCTCACTCACTCCATCATCCACACCCAGATCTATACTTAACCAATCAGTGGATTGATTTAGTATCATGTGCATGAGGTTTTGTAGTGGAGGGGTGATCTTACATGTCTTTTACCTAGCCATAACACCCATGATTATAGCAGTACAATTCGTAATAGCTAAATCTTAGAAGTAGCCCATATGTCCATCAACAGATGAATGAACGAGAAAATGTGGTATTTACATCTATTTATATATTCTTAACCATATACACAGAAAGTCTTTAGTCTCTAATATTAACTTCTATCTTAAAAATCTCTTTTCTTTTATAACAGTGTAGCAATTTTAAATCTCTTTTAAATCTCTACTTTTTACAAAGTATCTCTTTGTTTTCAACCTGTTTAGGACAGAATCCTAAAGCATGTGCGTTGTAGGTGGCCTGCAGTTGCATCATGGGTTTTGTTTTTTGTTTTTGTTTTTCATTCCATTTTCCCAGTCTCTGCCTTTTGATTGGACACTTTAACCCATTTATAATTAGTGTAATTACTGATGGAATGAAGTTAATGACATTGTTTTTCTGTCTTGTGTGTGTCTTGGGTCTTACCTGTGTCCCTGTTCTCCCTCTTCTGACGTGAGTATTTGGCAGTGCACTGTTTTAACTCCTCTGTCGTTCTCTTCATGATTTTTTGTTTTGTTTTTAACTATTTCCCTAATAATTGCTCTGGGGTTACAGTTAACATCTTAAATTATACAATGTAGTTGTAATTTCAATGGTTTATAAAGACTTTACTACCATATAGATCTATTCCTCTATTTCCTTTGTGGTATTACCGATCGTATCTTCACATGTATGCCTGTCAACACATTTAATGTTACCACACAGTTGCAATAATTAAATTAGTAATAGTTATTTCTTAAATCAAATAGATGGAAAAAGTTACAAACATAAAACATTTCTATACTTCTTTGGTATTTATCTCTGGGGCTACACTTACCTGTGTTCTCTTCCTCGTCTCGTTTTGAGTGACTCTGCTGTGCTTCCGTTCAGCCTGAGGGACCGGGTTCCCTGGGGCATTGCTTGCACAGCAGATCTGCCAGCTCCAAATCCCCCCCACCAGCGATGCACCTTTAGAGCTTTCAGTGATACAGGCAGCCCGCTGTGGCATGTGTGCCGTGGGTTCACCACCACTGCCCTCAGCTGTCAGTAACTTACAGGTGAATTCTGACAAAAATATTAGACAGAAGCACTGAGCTTTGCATTCCCTCTAGAGAAAAGTCTGTCATTAAGGTGAACCTTGTGAAACAGACACTAACATGCTAAAAAATCAAGGTTTGTAGCACTACTTCTACCTCAGAAAATTTATCATAGAAACTTTGAAAAACACCACCATGTTTAGTCACCAATAAAGCGTTTACTTAAGACAGCTGTGGACCTGCAGCTGTAGAGTGAGTTAGATGAGTACTCCTTTGGAGCAGTAGCAGATAGAAGACTTGGAGCGTATGGGTCAGTTATCAGAAATTGTTACAGGGAATCTTAAATTGAAGTAGTAAGATATGTAACTGTCGTACGTACATTTTAATGCTTTTTTGAGTAGTAGTTATTTACTACTATGTATAAATTAATACTTCCCTGATACTGTAATGGTTACAGTCTGAAAATTCAGCATATTATAAAATTAGTAGGCTGGTACCAAGATAATGTATTTTTTGGCTTTCCTTTTTTTCCCTTATTTTGGAGGAACTTTAAATTCCTAAGTCTTTCTGACAATCTGTTACTCCAGCTCCTATGGCATCTATTTGTAAGAGTGACTGTCAGGGCCAAGCCATCCAGATTTTCTGATTTAGTTTAAATTCTCACGTGCCATAGGGACTTTCTTTAGGACAAATTGTCACATTCAATACTTTGGCTGGACAAGGGTGGTACTTTTTGTAACAGCGCACAGAAACATATGTGATAGTGACTTCAAATTGACTCAAAAGAACCATGTCCTCTCTACAGCACATGATGTTTGAATGTGATTTTTTTATATTAATGATTAAACAGTGCGTGTTTATAAAATCACCAAAACTGATTTGAGTTATTTAACATATTTGTATGGAATTTAGTTCAAGGATTTTAGTGATAAAATTTGTGTTGGCACTTGCGAGTTTTACTTTCCCAGTTGTAAATGTCTTTCTAGTACATGGTTTGCTGTTAATTTCTAAAAGAAGAGAGTGTTGTTACCTGCATGTTAATCTTTTTTCTTTTTGAGACAGTCTCACTGTGCAGTTCAGGCTGGCCTTAAGCTCACTGCGTAGCCCAAGTTGCTCTTGAACTCGCAGCGCTCCTCCTGCCTCAGTGCATCGGGTGCTGGGATTACAGGTGTCCACCACCAAGCCTGGCTTGCAAATTAATCTTTTTTTTTTGGTTTTTAGTCTTTGTTTTTTTCCCAGTACCGGGAACCGACCTCACGACCTTGCACTTGCCAGGCAGACGCTGTGCCGCTGAGCTAGACCCCCAGCCCCTTCAGATTAATCTTTTACCCTTAAATTTCTTTGCTTCATTTTCACGCATGCCAACACAGGGTTAACAAATCCGTGTGCTTGCCTCAGCTGTGTCATAGCTGATGAATGTAGAAATCTTTGTTAAACTGTTTAGGCCAGGGCTTTCAATACTGCGTTTAAGTAATGATGAAAGATACTTACCCTCACCCCACCCCTCCGCCACTTTAAGAAAGTATTTGGCAGTTTTCACTGTTTTTTGATTCTGAGAAGTCCACAGATACCAGGGATCTTTCACAGTTACTTTCTGAGCAGTTTTATGCTTTTTTTCCCCCATTCTGCACATTTTATTACTTTTATTTTATTTATTTATCTATGTATCTACCTATCTATCTATTTACCTTTTTGAGACAGGGTCTCTCTGTGCAGTTCAGGCTGGCCTTCAACTCACTTTGTAGCCCAGGCTGGTCTCAAACTCGCAACGATCCTCCTGCCTCAGCTTCCCAAGTGCTGGGATTATAGGCGTGCACCACCACGCCTGGCTATTGTATTGTTTTTAATTTTCTTGCAGTACACAGTAACTGCATTTATTGTGGGGAGTCTTTGCATGTGCGGAACCCATGTGCTGATCTTGTTCCTTCCCCTCCCGTCACTTCCCGCTCTCTCCCTTGATCCCCTGCCTGTTTGGTGTATTTCAGTATACCTGCTACCAAAGCAAGCACCTTCTTCCTATTTGAAAAAGTTCTATTTCCATGTTTCTTGTGTTCTTTTTTGCAGATTCTCCCCCATCGCTTGAATTTTGTGCATTTCTTTTACTGCAAGGTCCCCTCCCTTTTTTCCTAGAATTTGTTACATTTCCTCTATGATGGTCATTTCACCCTCCAGCTAGTTTCTTTTTATGACTGTTGCGTTGTTTAACCTTTAAAATGATGGGGCTGGGGATTTAGCTCAGCTGCACAGTGCCTTCCATGGCAAGCGCGAGGTCGTGAGTTCGGTTCTTGGTACCAGAAAGCAAAGAAACAAACAAACAAACAAACAAACAAAAATACCATAACCTTTAAAATGATGAATCGCATCCTGTGATTCCCTATGGGAAGGAGGAGGGTCATAGTTCGAGCCCCGGCAAAGCAGCTTACACCGTCAGAAAATGAAACATACATAAATAGTCCCCACTTCACAGAGCCGACTGCGCACACAAACCACCAGTGAAGGTGAGCCGTGCTGCCTGCTTGCTGGTCGCTCGTGTTTGAGCACGTCCTGCAGTCTGGCTTCTGTCTGTGCTCTGCACTCGACAGTAGTCACAGTGCTTTGTCACTCTCTTCTGAGGATCGTGACACTTGTTTCCAAAAGTATTATTTACGTGAAATGCGCTTTGCAGACTGCAGATTTCCTGCTCTAAGGTCACCCTCCGGCGGCTGGATGGTCTTGCCCTCCCCCTTTTCCTCTCCCTTGACTTTCTGCTGGACTGACCATTCAGCAGTTTCTTTCTCGTGAGACCTTTTGTCCCCTGCGGTGTGTTCCCTCCTTACCTTTCCTGGGTTTTTGTTTTTTGGGTTTTTTCCTTTTGAGACGGTTCACTATGCAGTTCAGGCTGGCCTTGAGAGCTCACTTTGTAGCCCAGGCTGGTCTCCAACTCACAAC